AATAGCAAAGCACCCTGATGGGTGGGGCTTAGTGAAAGAGCTAAGCCAAAGAAAGGCTGAAGTCTAGGAGAGATATAGGGCTCTGCCTGGCTGAGGTCCAACTACATCGAAACTACATTTGTGATGGGTTGGTACCTAGTCAACTTCTCACTGAACCCGCCACCTGACCGTCCTCATCCTTATCAAACAGAACACTCTGGGAAGGTCTGGTCAGCTTGTCCTGGCCTTCGGAGCCACATCTTGCAATTGCATTTTGTTATTTTGTCGAGAGGCTTGTTATTTTTCTGAGAAACCTTTTGTTTTCCACACTCCTTTACATGTCTGCTTCTAAAGTGTCCCCCTCATCCAAAATGGAGTCACCTCTGTCATTGCTCCCCTTACAATACATTACGGCATAATTAAGTCAAGCCAATTAACCAATCCACCACCTCTCATGCTTATTTTCTGTAGTGCAAACATTTGAAAACTATTCTGTTAGTAATTTTGAGACGTATACTGTGTAAACCATAGTAACCATCCTGTGCAAACTGTCTATCTGAAACTTCATACCCATCCTTCAGCATCATCTCCCCTTCCTGGCCCCTAGCACTCCACCCTCGGCTTCTGTGAGTTTAACCTTTTAGGTTCTACACGTGAGTGTGACCATGCAGTCTCTCTGTGCCCAGCTTAATGTCCTCCAGGTTCATCCATGTTGTCACAAAGGAGAGGATTTCTTTTCCTTTTTAAGGCTGAATAGTATTCCATTGTGCTGCAGGGACCTTGAGTGTGCAGGAATCCCTTCAATGTGCTGGTTGCTTTTCCTTGGAGATGCACCACGGCGGGCGGCTGCTCACCCAGTAGTTCTGGTTAAGTTTCTTGAGGGGCCTCCAGCCTGTTTTCCACACTGTGCTTATCTCGCCGCACACCAACAGTGTGCCTGGGTTCCCTTTTGGCACACCTGGCCAACACTTGCCGCGCTTCATCTTTGTAAACAGCCCTTCTACCTGGGGTCGGGTTGTATCTCCTTACGGCTTTAATTTCATTTCCCTGATGATCAATGCTGGTCACTATTTCTTCCTAAATCCGTGGGCCACTGCAGTCTTCTTTGGAGAAATGTCTAATCAGGTCCTTTGCCCTATTTAAAATCTGGCTATTTGTTTTCTTGCTGTTGGTTGCTTTTTAAACTTAAAATTACCTGAAATTTTTACTTTGTACTTATTTTTGGAAAACAGTGTCTAAAGCTCTTAGCTGGAAGTCATTTTCCTCGGAGTCCTGTAAAGACATGATCCCACTCGTTTGGCTCTTATTAACTGTTGAAATTGCCACCAATTTAATGGCTGTTTCTGGTGGGGCACTGTTTTAAGATTTTCCTCTGTCTTTGATAGTTTCACTATGTTATATCTAGGTATAAGTTGTCATTTTATTGTTTTATTTAGTAATAAAATATTTTATTTATTTTGTGTTCTTTTACTAGTTCTAAAATATTCCTAAATGTCTCCAGACACTGACTTTCTTTCCTTTGGGATTTCTTTCCCCAGGCCCTGTATTTGTTAGGATATATTCATTGTACAGGGGGAGGTCGTGTGACAATTCCAAATAGCCTTGCATCATACCTTGGTTAGATCGTTCCCATCATTTCCCCCCACTGTCCCAACCCCCTCCCTGCCCCACTTAAAGCAATTTAAACCAGACTTCTATTAGCTCTCTGCACACTAGCTTCTATGTTTCTCTTGTTTTTTTAAACTTCTCCCTCTCCCTTGTGCTACTTTTTTTTTTTGGTGGTAGTGCTGGGGTTTGAACTCACATCCTCACGCTTGCTAGACGGGCACTCTACTACTTGAGCCATACCCTTATCCCTTTATACTTTAGTTATTTTTCAGGTAGGGTCTTGCATTTTTGCCTGGGCCAGCCTCAGACTATGATCCTCCTACTTCTGACACCTGCTCCCTGGGATTACAGTTGTGTGCCACTATGCCTGGCCCCCTTATGCTACATTCTTAACCATTTCTTTGGATTTGTCTTCCTGTTCACAAATTCCCTCTTTAGCTGTGTCTAATTTGTTGCTGAACTCATCCAATCGGTTCTTTTAAACAACAGCTTTATTGAGATACAATCCTCAAACCATAGATCCACTCTTTTAAGGTACACAATTCAATGTTTATTCATATATTCTTGAAGTTGTGCAAACATCACAACTACAGTTACATTTTCAAGATTTTGATCACTTCTTTTATTAGCAGTGCTCCAAAGCCCCTTCCTCTCTTCGCCAGTACTAGCCCCACTAATCTGCGTTCTCTCTCCGCTGAGTTTTCCAGTTCTGGACATTTCACGCAAACAAAAGGATGCATGTTTGTTTCTGAGGACTGACTTTTTTCTATTAGCATCATTCTTTCAAGGTTTCTGCTGACTATTCATTTCAATGAAAACTTCATTTCCAGAGGGGCTTTCTTCTGATAGACATGCTCGTGAGTTCCTCCTCTTCCTCCTTCTCTTCTTCTTCTTTTGTGGGACTGTGGTTTGAACTCGGGGTTGGCAAAGCAGGTGCTCTCCCACTTGAGCCATACCATCAGTCTATTTTACTGTGGTTATTTTGGAGATGGGGGTCTCACAACTATTTATCCAGCTGGTCTCCAACCTCAATCCTCTGGATCTCAGTCTCCAAGTAGTTAGGATCACAGGTGTGCCTGGCTTATTCCTTCTAACATAGCTTAAGCATAGTAAATATATAAGCGTATCCCCTAAATGATCTCTCCAGCATGTACAGGGACTTCGATCTGTGGCCTGTGACTGTGCACACTTGTTTCCTTTGGATACTTGCTGATTTTTTATTTTGAGCTCATGTTTGATTCAGCTGAATCCATGGGAACCCCCTAAGCTGGGGGCTGCTTACCTACAAAAAGGGTTCACCTTTGCTTTTGGCTGCTGACCTGGGCCACCTGGTCCCCTTGAAGGCTCAGCTTTCTGTGGGAATCTCAGGCTCAGCCCCCTGTGCATACACTTTGGGTGGGTGTTGCAAATGCTCCCTGAATCCTCCACCTCTTGCTGTGCTCTGCTGTAACTTCCTGTGACTGGTGTCTGCATCTCTGTGCTCGAGCAAGGCTACTCTGCCTGCCCCCAGTGGGTGGCAAACAGAAGGTGCTGAAGAATGAACCCTGGAAGCAGCCTCCATGACTTCTGAGAATTGCTATAAAAGCACCACAGTTCCTCAACCCTCCGGGTGAGATCACTCTGGGTCCCTGACTCCCTCTATGGCACTGACTCCATTTCCTATTTGGGTGCTTTGCTCAGTCCCACACCTTCGCTGGTCTCCGTGTCTGTCCTGATTCTTACTGAGGAAAAACGTAAATAAACCCACTGGCTTTGCTGTAGATGACCCCTCTGACTGAAGCCACCCAAGTGGTTAAAACTGTTCCCCAGAGCATGTCATCTCCCCCGTTTGCTCCTCTCTACCTCCTGAGGTCCTTGGGGTGGGAAGTAGTCTTAGGCTATCTTCCCTTGTTCTCCAGGGAAAAGACACCTCTTGTATCCTAATTCAGCAGTTACAGAATTAACTCTTCCTGGGGCAAAGGAACTAAACACACGAGTCATAAGACTTTCTAATCAGTAACTCTTCTTCAGGTTTACAGAGTCCGGGACATCCAGCCACAGCAAGCAGACCACTCGAAATTTGCAACTCCATTTTCTTTGGTTTGCTGGCTTTCCAGATAAACCTTTTCCTTGCCGCAACAACGTAGCCTCCAGACTGCCCTTTTCCAGCCACGAGCAATGAATGTGGGTTCAGGGTGACAGGATCGCTTCCCCTCTCCAGTGCTGCGCCTCCAAATGAGTGGTCCCAGGCCCTGCCTCTGCTGCAGGAACCCATGTCAAGATCCAGACCCCAGACCCTGTGCGGGTGCTGGCTCTGCCTCTGCCCGCCAGGCAGATTCTGGGGCTCCACCATCATATTTTTGTTTACAGACTCAGAAATTTCTCTTTCTTGAGAGTTCTGGGATGCTTTGAAGAGAACTGTGTTTGAGCCGTGCACCTTCTTCATCTGACTCCTTCTCAGGTCCCTAAGGCAAATCAGGTCCCCTTAATCAGTCTGGTCCGTGGCTTCCTTTTCCTTCCCCTTCAGTACCACTCAGTGAAGCAGCGAGGTGTCTGTGGTCTGGAGCCCAAGCTCTTAGGTTTCAGTGTTGGCTGTTGTCACTGAGTCACTGCAAGACTCTGAGCAGGGAGTTCAACTCTGCAAAGTGTCCTTATCTGTAAATCAGAAATTATAGAAATTCTTGCACAGTAGGGTTGATGTGAGCCTGTACTGAGATAATATGTGTTTACAACACGTGGACACACAGTATGTGTTCAATAAATGTTAGCTCGGGTTGTCACATCTGGCAAAAATGTATTAGTGATTAGCTGGGCAAGGTAGTACACGTCTATAATCCTAGCACTCAGGAAGCTGAGGTAGGAGGAAAGTGAGTTCAAGGCCAGCTTGGGCTACACATCGAGACCCTGCCTCAAAAAAAAAAAAAGTTATCATTTGTCTAATGTAAGGTTCAGAAGGGCAGAAACCTGCCTTCTCATCCTGTCTCCCAGAGCCTAGAGGTAGGGGAAAAGGGCAGTAGTGGGAGAACAGTGGGCACCTTTTCTGTTCAAATGAAGGACGGCAGGTGGAAGGACTGATGGTGGCTGTGGTTTACCCAGTACCCAGCAGAGATGGATCCCAAGCTCGGGGACGACAGAAGGCAAGAAGGCAAGAGAGGAAACTGTGAACCTGGCCAACCCCCCCTCCTCCCCCTCAACACCCTGACCGGGATTCTCGCCTTCTGGGTGTGGGCGTGTCCCTTGGGGCTGCTGCTGCCGGTGGGGGTCATCGTGGATGCTCCTAAGAGTAGAGCTGCTTGCAACAATCGGGAACTAGGCTGAGGGTGGGGAGGGAGGGGTCCCAAGGCTGAGTCTGTGCTTGGCGTCGGTGAACAGGGACCTGCGCGGAGCACGGCGGCTGCTACCTCCCTCCTCCTCTGCGTCTTTGTGCGTTTCGCTTCCTTTCGCAGTCAACGTTCTTCCGAGAATTTCCGAGGGAACCTCAGACAAGCAGAGGGGGAAGGGATCCTGCCCATGCCTGGGTAGGCGGAGGTGGGTGTGGGGGTGGGGGTGGAGGTGGAGGTGGAGGTGGGGGGGGGGGGTGCACGCTGGACAGCCGTGGAGGGAGCGGGAACCGAAGAGGGCTCGTGCGCTTGCGCGTGCGGGCGAGGGGGTGCGGGAGAGCCTGGGCCAGCGACCTGCTGCGGGGCCGCGAGCCCCGGGCGCCCCCCGCCCCGCGCGCCTCCCCGCCGCCCCCGGCCCCCGCGCGGCCCCCGCCTCGGCTCCGCCCCGCCTCTCGCGCGGGGTCCGCGTCTGCGGCTGCGTTCCCCGAAAGACGAGGCTGCGCCCGGGTTCCGGTCCGCAGGGAGACCGAAGGGCACCGCTCCCCGCGCCGCGCCGCGCACGCCGCCCGAGCCCGGAGTGCGGACACCCCAGGGATGTGAGTGCGCCCCCCGACCCCGAGGCCCGCGCCCCAAGCCCCGATCCGCGGTGAGCGCCGAGGCGCGCGCGCGGGAACCAGGGGAGGGGACTCGGTGCGGGGTTCCCGGTTCTCCAGCCCAGGGGTGGGGGGTGGAACCGGGACGCGGCGCGCACCCCTCCCCCATCGGCAGGTACCGTCCGCTCCCACCTCGTCTCCCCTGTCCTGCCGGACGCACCCACAGCTCCCCAGGGAGGAGAAGACGCCCCCTCCCGTGTCCCCCACAGGTGCCGGGCGAGGGGGGGAGCATCGGGTTGTCACCTCGCCGGAGAGGGCGGACCTCTTCTCCCCGGAGGGGACAGCGCTGTGATGGTGGATGCTCTGGGGGTGGGGCTTTCGGGCTCCAAGCGGACCCCGGGCGTCGGATTCCTGGGAGGAGATCGATTCCTGAGGCCGGAAAAGGGGAGGGTCGTTGGGGCTCGGCGGAGGGCTGGTCTCCTGACCGAGGCTTCTCCCCGCCAGGCCTGTGCCCCAGAGGACCCTCTCCCGCAGCCCCCGCGCCTCCCCGCGGCCTGCCCGGAGCATGCTGCCTGCAGTCGTGAAGGGGTTCGGCCTGGCGCTGCTGGCCTTGCTGCTGTGCCCCGCGCCCGGTGAGTCTGGGGGCCCGCGGGGCGGGGTCGGCTCTGGGGGACAGCCTGAGGCCGGACGCTCCGGAGCGAGCCACTCTGTGGGGCCGTGATCCTCCGATGGTTCCCGCGGGTGTCCCACAAAGCCCACGCCCACTCCTGGATCCCTGTGATCCTATCTGGACACCGACCAGCCCAGTTTGAGGCACGATGGTCTTTCCTCACCTGAGGGCACCCATGCCTTTCCTCTGGGCTGCCGGTCCAGTGCGGATGCTCGATCTTGAGTGGCGGGGATTCTGCCTTCATTACTTCCCAGAGCCCCACCAGGCCTCCTATTAAGTCCTGTTGAGGCTTCATTGCATGGAACCCACCCAGCTCTGGGGGTTAAGTGCAGGCAGCATTGCAGTGTGGGAGGCTGGCCTGCATGTGCCCTGTTCAGGAGTCAGCCTGGCCTGCTCCTCTCAGCCCCTTCTGTGGACATGGTTCTGCCAGGCTGCAGCAAATGGGACAGAGGGGATGTAGGATCTGGCTGGCCAGGCCCTACTTCCTCCTGTCACCCCCTTCCCATGTCCTTCCCAGCTCATGGCCTGTGGTGCCAGGACTGCACACTGACCACCAACTCCAGCCATTGCACCCCGAAGCAGTGCCAGCCCTCGGACACCATCTGTGCCAGCGTCCGCATCACAGATCCCAGCAGCAGTAAGTGGGTGGGGGTCTGGTGGGGGGCTGCTAAAAGCTGGACTCTGGGGAGAGGTCAGTGGCGTACTCTGAGCCCCTGTGGCCTGGGACAAGAGCATGGGTCTGGGACAGGACACCGTCCAGTTAGTTCTTCCTTGGCTCCTTGGTGGCTCTTTCCATATGGTCCCCTAAGTTTGGTGAACTGACTGCCTCAGCTCTGCTGACCCAGTCCCCAGTTGACCTGGAGGGGTCTGGGGCCTGGGGACAAGACAAGGGCCCAGATGGAGCTGCAGCCCCAGGTCCCCTTCTTTCCCACAGGCAGGAAGGATCATTCCGTGAACAAGATGTGTGCGTCTTCCTGTGACTTCATTAAGCGGCATTTTTTCTCAGAATATCTGATGAGATTCATTAACTCTGGGATCTTAAAAGTCGACGTGGAATGCTGTGAGAAGGATTTGTGTAACCGGGCAGCCCTGGTGGGGCGCAGCCCTTGGGCCCTGGCTGGGGGACTCCTTCTCAGCCTGGGGCCTGCCCTCCTCTGGGCTGGGCCCTGAGGTCCCTTCCTCCTGCAGGGCTTCTGAGCTTGCTCCCCATGAGCCTGTTGGTGCCCTGCCAGCCTGGCCTGGTTGGGGCTGGGGCAGCGTTGGCCCAGCATCTCCATCTGTGGCTTTCACCCTCCCCAGATGTGAGACCTCTCCGCCTCTCCACCAGCTCTGCGTACCAGGCAGCTGGACCTCCTTCAGGAGATCAGGTGTCCTGGCAGGAAGCTGGGGTGAGGGCAGGGGGCTGGGACCCCCAGATCTCCAAGGGGAGGGGAGGCTGAGCCAGGTGCAGCCCAACAGCTTGGCCCAAGGGGCATCTCTGCAGAGAAATAAAGTCACTTCTGAGTCCTGAGGCCCGGGTCTGAGCCTGGGTGTGCGGGGGCCGGGTAGGGTCCTGGCAGAGAGTGGAGTGAGGCGCTGAGACAGCAGACAGGTGGAGGCATTGGTCATCCCTGCTCTGGAGGCCTTAGGGTGGTGGGTAGGTGTGCTGGGCTGCCTGGAACTGCCCATTGTGGGGGCTGCTTAGGCCTGGTAAGGACTGAGAGCACTTAGGGTGGTGGAGTGAGTTGAGATGGACAGGATCACAGAGTGGGCCTGAGGGTGAGGTGTCAGAACCCATGTGCATACCAGGGACACAGAAGTGCACACAGACGCCACACTCAGGGTCCACTCCTGTGCTCACACATTACACACTCACATCACAGGCATCTGCACACACAGGCACTGAAACACTCCCCTCACACAGCCTGGTGTGTCCTGATGCATACTCACTGGAGCACGTCTGTGTGCATATCCACCCTCAAATGTGCTCTTGGATACTTGCAGACACAGGCATGCTGGTGTACACAGCCACCTTTTCTTCCTTGCCTCTTCCCCCATCTTTATCAGCCCCAGACTGCTTGGAGCCATTGGGACTGCTCCAGGCTGGAGTGGAGCCCTCTGCCCCTTCACTGGGTATCCAGCCTTCACCCTGGCCAGAGTTGGAATTGAGCATGGGTGGGATCCTGGGGTGTGTTCCTGTGGCCAGGGCCTGAGGAAGCTGACCTGTGGATGGGCACAAGTGGGGATGGAGAGTGGTAAATGGGGCTGCCCTCCTAGTTCTTTTCAGCTCAGTTTTATCCCAGTGTCCCTGAGTCAGTCCAGCCTCCTTAACTCCGATGCCCCTTCGCCAGGTGCCCCATAGGTGGTTTGTTTCAGGCCTAGGTTCATCTTGTGATGCTTGGTAGACACCCCAGGGCTTCTCTGGCATCTGGTCTTTGGCCAGTGCTTCCTCATGCCATCTGTGGCTGACCCAGATCCGTAGTCAACACTGAGCCCCTTAGGGAAGCGGTTCCTGTAGGATCTGGCCTTGACATTGCTCCTGCAGGTGGTGCGTGAGTGATAGAGAGGAAATGTAGTCCAGGTGACCCGGAGGGTGGCATAAGGCCTCCTGTCCCCTCTGAGAACTGATGTTAGTTTCCTGGTGTGGACATAGCACATTTTCCATTTGAACTTTGCTGTGATAGGTCCCATTCTGTCCATGCCACACCCTTCAGTGAAGTGTGCTGTCCCTGCTTGTGCCTGGTGTCTTGGGGGCCTGGAGACCACAGCTGGCACAGAGGGAGGATATGCAGACAAGTCAGAGCCACTAAAGCTCAGGCATGATGGAAGCCTCAGGTTGAAGCTCCCAGGAGGACAAGACCTGCCAGCCAATAAGAATGAGCTTGAGCCAGTGTTCAGGCAAAGCTTTGTGTGCCAATTTATTGTTTGAGAGAAGGCTTTAAAAACACAGGAGTGAAATTCTCTGGTCTCTTTGAAGAATCATAAAATCAGAGAGGCTCCTGAGGGAGCAAGCACAGAGGGCTGGACCCCACATCTCAGCTCCCACCTTCTAGGCTGTCAGGTTCCTCATTTCCAGGAGTGCGTAGATTGTCGTGGAAGGGCTACGCTCCACAGCTGTGAGAAGCTGAGTTCAACTGGGCAGGGCTGAGGATTCAGTGTGCCCTGTCCCTTCTCAATAAGCAATGGACAGCTTGCCACAGCCTCTCTCCAGAGCAGTATGGCAAGGTTGACCTTTGGTTTTCAAGCTCTGCTTTGAAGTCACTGAAATGAGCCAGCTGTGCTGTATTTCATGCATCTTATTGGAAGGCATAGGGGTCTGTTTTTAGGTTTCTGCCATCAGCATTTCTGAAGGGACCATCCTTGTTCCCACACCCCTATGGACCAAGTGACCATGTGGATAGAGCTGATTCAGAGAAGCAAGAAGCAGAACCAGAGAGGAAATCTAAAAAGATTTCCTCCCTCAGTGGGCGCTGATACCCTCCCTGCTTTCTCCTTTCCCAGTGGATGTGGGACCCCCCTCCCATGGTGCTGGGACCTGTGGCTCCCATGGCACTTCCATCCCCTCCTCAGTGTCACCTGTCCCATCTTATGGATACTTTACACCTGGGAAGCGGATTTAGAAGAAGTAGGAAAGCTTAGTGATAGAGTGCTTGCACTTGCCTTGGTTCAATCCCTAGCTCTGCCCACTTAAAAGAAGAAATGGGACATCCAGGCACGAAGTCTTCACTGGTTTTGGGGGAGTGTCAGACTGCCTGGATTCAGATTTCTTTTCTGTCTCCTGGCTGTGCTACTCTGGCCAGTCCTGCACCCTTGCTGAGCCTGGGGTATGCCTGTGAGGTGGGACACACCCAGCTGGCGGGGTGTGCGTGGATGTGGGCTGGTCCTGGAGCCCTAGGATCATCCGAAGATGATGTCTTTTCTTTCTTGTCAGGATGGGGTTTGAACTTAGGACCTCACACTTGATAGGCAGATGCTCTACCACTTGAGCCACACCTTCAGCCCTCTGACTTTTCTACTCCAAGTTGGAAGAATGCTGGTCTGAGGGAGTGAGGAGTGTAGGCTCATGGGAAGATTAACAGCTTTCCCTATTTAGTTCCCTCCAGAAATCTGCACCATCCACATCCCATAATAAGCAGAGGGTGCCCATAGAAGAGATGGGAGGAACAAGCCCACAGTTTTATGTTTTTATTCACTTTACTATTTTTCTGGAGCTAAATTCTAGGCTCTAGGCCCTGGGGACTGAACAGTGAACAAGACAAAAGGGATGGCTGCTCTAGTCAGTCCTTGTGCACACACGTGTGTACATGTGTGTTGTTTATGTGCACATGCATGTGCATGTGCAAACACAGTTGTACATGTGTGTATGTGTGCTTGCACATGCATGGAGAGGGTGCTGGCGGAGATGGCAGACATTACAGGTGCTTTAGCAGGTAACTGTGGAGGGCAATGCCTCTGAGAAGAACACTGTCCTGTCCAGGGAAAAGGAGACCCTGCTGCCTGTCACAGCTCAGGAGGAGACAGGGAGGCTTCTGGTGACAGGGAGGCTTCTTGTGACAAGGAGGGATCAAATCCCTCCCCCCATGGGCTTTTGAGTGTGAGGCCTGGGGCTTCCCAGCCCTGCCACTGGGAGGCCACTAGGAATAGGGAACATGGGGCAGAAAGGGGCAACCCCTGTCCCCAGTTTCCTGGGGAATTTGGTGAGGGTAATCCTCTCTTCATTTGCACCAATACAGAAGCCTCCGGTGAGAGGTGTACCTCTGACCATCTCTGTCTGCCCACTTTCCTGTTTCTCTGCTCAGGATGTCTTTATGAAAATACAAGGAAATGCAGACAGACAGTTCTGTTTTTGTGCAGGGGGTCAGTTAGCACTGATGCCCTGATCCCTTAGGGATTGTTCCTTGTGAATGCAAATCTAGCTTCCCATCGCTCCCTGCAGCTGCACATCCCGCTTTCTGGGGTGTGCTTCCAGCCTCCTCCTGTAGACTTTGGTTGCTCTCTTGGTTTCCTATTTCAGAGCTGGAGGTGGCCTTGCTGGGCCTTTTGGCTTTCCTGTTGCCTTGGTTGCCTTCAGAGCTACACCAGGAAACGGTTAGACTTTCCTATTCTGGCAGGTGTCGAAGATGGAATTTCACTTTTGTTACCGTCTTTGAGAAGGGGACTCAGATGCACACTTGGATGAAACTCAGTCCTTGGCCTGACTGTTCATCAGTCTGTAAGGCCCTCTTTTCTTCCGGAGTGTTAATCTCTCCATCTTGTTTGCATCTCTCTGGGCTGTCTGCTAACAGCTTCTGTCCCTTTTCTGCTGCGTAGTTGTTCTTTTTATCCATTTCCAGTAGCTCTCTGCAAAGCTAGGGGATAGACCCTTGCTTTGTACCATCTGATTTTGCCTATGGTGGATTTTCTGTTTCTTTTTCTTGCCATGCAGAAGTTTCTTTTCTTTAAATTTTTATGCAGGCACTGTGATCACTATTTTTTTATTTTTCAGCCATACAAAAGCCCCTCCCTACTGCAGTGCTTAAAGGGATTCTCTGCTGCAAGTAACCGAGAAGGCATGTGTGTGTGCGCGTGTGCGTGTACCTGCAGTGGAACTGTGGCTAGTACACGACTGGCCATGGTCCACACACAGCCTTGGAGCCCTCACAACTCAGCCAGCAGGATCTGCTCGCCCCTCCACAGGGCTGCAGGTCTTTTTCATGGGAATAGAGGCTCCTTTTGGAGATGTAGTCCTGCCATCCACAGACTGGATCCGGAATCTGAGACGGGCCTCTCACTGAGTCATTGTCTAGGGCAGGACCAGGAGTCTCCTGGTCATGCCAGGCTGACCCTTCCTGCTCCAGCCCAGCCTCCTCAAAGGACGGACAGGTCAGTCACCAAGTGAGTTCTCAACCCAGGTCCAGGGAGGGGTCTGTGGGCAGTGGTAAGGAACAGGTGAGGAGCAGTATGGGGCAGAGGATGAGTTAAAGGCTACCCAGGCTGAGTAGGCACCACAGGACCACAGGGGATGTCCTGGAGGGTGGAAGTGAGTCAGGAGACTGATAGGGAGGCCCTCCACATTGGGGCCTTGAGAGTCTGCAAGCAGGGTGTCATCAAACCACCTGCCCATGGCCTTTCTACTAGAGGCTTTCCTGGCTGGAATCCCAGAATTCCCAGACTGCCTCAAAGCCTCTGCCCTCCCCTGCCACTGTCCCCAAGTTCCCCCAAATTCCACAGCAGC